TCTGTGGATAATGGCAAATGAAAAGAAGCTCAGTACCATTAATTATTAGGGAAATGCAGATTAGAATTACAAGAAAAACCATTATATGCCTACTAAGAATAGCTACAATTAAAAAGACAAAACTAACGATACCAAATACTTGTGAGTGTGTAGAGAAACTGGAACTTTCAAACATTTCTAGTGGAAATATGAAAGGGTGCAACCACTTTGAAAAATACTTTGGCATATTCACAAAGCATTGAACATGCACTTATGTTCAATTAATATGATTTAGTAGTACTTCTTTTAAGTATTTATCCAAGAAAAATTAAAAATATGTCCACCCAAATGTTTGTATGAACATGCTCCTCATAGTTTTTTCCCCCCAAACTGGAAATAGCTCAATGCCTATGAACAGGTGAATAGATCAACTTCTTATTCATACAAGGGATACTTCTTAGCAATAGAAATGGAGTAACTGCTGATACACACAATAATACCAATATGTCTCAACAGCATTATGTTTAGTGAAAAAAAAGACGTAAATAAACTATATATTGTATGAATTCATGTATATGAAATTCCAGGGAGAAAAATACAGTGATAAAAACAGATCCACTGTTTTAAGACCAGGGGGTGCAAAGAGCGACACAAGTGGATATTTGTGGATGATGGAAATGTTCTATGTCATGATCATGGTGGTTTACATAACTATCCACATGTGTTAAAACATATTCAATTAAACCTTTAAAGTGATGGAATCTATTGTATATAAATTATATCACAGCAAACCTAACAGGAAAATTAAAAACATGCACAATCTATAGAAAGAAAACTATAACATTTTGTTGAAGAACAAAAAAGGTGACGAGTAAATGCATAGGTCGTTCTCCTTTAAAAATGTTTAAATTCTACCCCAAATAATCTTTAAATTCATTGTACTTTCAAATTCCCAAAGAAATTTGGAGGTTTTAGGAGAAAAATATTGATTAGATTCTGAACACACAGAGGTTCAACATCACTGAACTTCTAAAATCTTTATCTTTTTTTAAATATTTTTTATTGATTAAGATATTACATATGTGTCCTTGTCCCCACGTTACCCTCTACCCCCCGCCCCACTCTTGCCCTCCCCCCCGTTGTCCGTGTCCATTGGTTAGGCCTATATGCCTGCATGTAAGTCCTCTGGTTGCTCTTCCCCCTTTATCCCCCCCCTCCCCTACCCTCCCTCCAAAGCCCGACAGTCCAATCAATGCCTCTCCCTCTCTGGATCAGTCCTTGTTCATCAGTCTATGTTGTTCCTTATATTCCACAAATGAGTGAGTTCATGTGGTATTTATCAGCTCTCCAGTTCCATCCATGTTGTGGCAAATGGTAAGAGTTCCTTTTTCTTCTCCCTCTTCTTAAAGAATACCTTTCAGCATTTCATATAATGCTGGTTTGGTGGTGATGAATTCCTTTAGCTTTTTCTTATCCGTGTAGCTCTTTATCTGACCTTCTATTCTGAATGATAGCTTTGCTGGATAAAGTAATCTTGGTTGTAGGTTCTTGCTATTCATCACTTTGAATATTTCTTGCCACTGCCATCTGGCCTGCATAGTTTCTGTTGAGAAATCAGCTGACAGTTGTATGGTAACTAACTTCTTTTCTCTTGCTGCTTTTAAGATTCTCTCTTTGTCTTTTGCCCTTGGCATTTTAATTATGATGGGTCTTGATG